AACTGAGAACTCAATAGCCTCCTCTCTTTTGCTTACCTGGTTTGCTGCTGGCAGAGGCTGGGGATAGACTGGAGGCTTGAGTGATGGTTGTGTGCACTGAGGATGTCACTGTGCTCCCTATGACAGGAAATCATGCATGTTGGTGACTCATATAATTCTAGACCTCCTTACTTATATAAATGGACTTGCAGGATAAAACATGAGTAGACACATTCTACACCACAACCAATGCCATGAATTTTACTTGCACATACAGTGTCAATTTCCCGACGATCACCTGAGGCAGCATGGGAATGGATGAGCTGCTGAGACATCTCCAAAAGCTAAAGAGTCTTACCTGAACCTGGGCTTCCAGTGCTTGCTGGTAGAGGGGTGCTGCTCCCAGACCTTCCCGAGGTGGTTCCAGATGATGCCCCTGGTGTGCCTGATATTTATTATAGTTAAAAAAGATAAATAAGAAAAATGATACGGAGATTTTCTTAGGAATAAGAATTAAAATATTCTTTTTGTTGGATATTTTTACTTGGCTTGTTTAAGTTGCCCTTTTAGCTTACAGCAGGCCCAGGACCCAATCTCAACCTCTCCAACCCCACAGTCTAACCTCTAACTTGCTTCTAAATGATATGTGCCAAAACAGTAATTTGACAAATTTACAAAGTGTGTGAAAGGAATATTTTCTAAGTCATCAGAATCTTTCTCCCTCTCCTAGGACAACACTTGGTGTCAAGGCGTTCCTTTAGAATCTGATAACTCTGGAAATGCACCTGGAGGGAGCAGTTGACTTATTTCTCTGCCTCCTCTCTGAAGTCTGTCTTTTCTCCTTGAAAGCTAGAGCATCACCAAAGGGTCATGTCATGAGAAGTAATGAGTCCAGTGATTTTCTGCTCAATCATTTCCACCTTTTTAACCTTGGGTCATGTTATCAAAAGCTTTAGCTTATTGTGGTAGGGGAGGAGCAAGCTTCTAAAAATGGCACATTTGTCCCCTTTCATTTGGCACACACTACGTCTATCTAAAGTTTTGTCAGCTCCTTCAATTTAAAGTAAGTAGAACAGGAAGAAGGGTGCTCTCTCGTGGGAAGAGCATGATATTCCCCCATCAGCCTGTACTCACTTGATTTGTCTGCAGGCTGGGTCTGTTCATTGCTTGGGGCTCCAGATGTCTCCACAATTGATGGTGCTGTGGTTTCTTTTAAAGTGAACAGTGAACGTCTATCAGATTTGGTGCAGAACAGATCTGAGTACTCACACTTTCAATTATCTTTCTTACATTCCTGAATTCTTCTCTATTTCTAATTTCCTCTCTCCAACAAGCAATTATTAAACCTTCCCTGACCCAGATCATCCTTGAATGCATGGATGAACTTGTTGGACACAAGTAAGCTTAGACATTTTGACTTGTTTCACTTTGAGACACTGAAGTTGTGCATAGTATACCTCAGCATCCTCATCATAGCCTACTACAGAGCTTCCATGAGACTTTTATACACTGCCATACAGTTCCACAACCATTGTGACCATAAGGAACACTTTAGTGCGTAATCAAAGCCTCCTCTACTTGATTGTCACTGGGAGCCAGAACCCGTGTGTAGTCCCCTCTTCAGAATTACAGCATTAGTACTTCTAGGGTTGTATGTGGGGATTATTATCACATGAAATGTGTGATGCCACCATTGGATAAGATGGTACACTTCATCCTTACCTTTCCTAATAATGCTTTTGGCAGATAAGGAATTGCATCATAAGTCCAGACTCTTCCTATTCATTTCCATCCTCGCCATTTCTTTAGACACAGGGAATGGGGCTAACCCACATTGCTTGTTAGATCCCTACAGGCTTATGCACTTCTGCCTTTGACCCTCTTGTTTGTTAATGTTGCAAATTGTGGTTCTTTATATAAGATGCCCTGGGAATGACTAGGTGAAGCCTTCAAGTGTACCCTATGTTCCCAGGAACCCAAGCAGCCTGGGAGGCAGTGGCAATGTGCATGTAATTCTTGTGATTACTATGAAGACTTCGGAGGCTCCATAAGAGCAAAGAATAAATAGTGTCTCCCTACTTCTCCATAGCTCTCCAGCCCCATTAGAACCTCATTTTTAGTTCAGCACTTGTGAGCAGGCTTAGATGGAATCTCTGAGACATCACCTACAGGCAGCCAGCCTATTTGATCTGACCATAAACATTGTTTCCAATGCCTACTCCTCTAGTGGTGGCTCCAGAATATGCACCTGCTCTGCCTTGATTTCATCAAGGATAGAAATTTTAACTTAAAAAAAAAACTATTTTCCATCTCAAGAAAGCAATCAATAATATGGTTCCACTCTTTTCCTTTAAGATAATGGTGATATATATCTATGCAAATTTCACTGCTGTCTTTAGGGTTTTTCAAATGAAATTTTGTAAATAAGATGGTCTCATATTGACTCCATGGAGATCTTTTTTCTTGCTATAGTATAGAGAGATGAGGGAGATGCTCCAGTATTTTCAATGAATGACCTTGTCACTTGTATTTTCTCATGCTGCTATGTGCACTCTTTGCCCTTTATGTGCCTGTCTCGCTTACCTTTGTCAATCACATCTGTAGAAATATTAGTTTTGACTGCACAAATTATTTCATATGAGAATTGTATTTTATTACTCTTTTCCTATATCCCGATATCCAAGGGTATAGATTTAATCATGTTGACACTCGGTATCACACAAATGACACTGATCACATACTTCAGGGCGTCCTAACCCTTACTCAGTTTGAATCACACAATTCACAGGTCTAATTTCCAGGGCACACCCCTAATCTGTCTCCTTAGTACCTATTCCTCCTGAGGCACTGATTCCAGCAGTTCCAGTAGTGATAGCTTTGTCCCCTACACTTGTTCCTGTGTGAAGACATATGCATTAGACAGTGTGACTTGTCAACTTGATGGCACTTAGAATCACTATGAAAACAATCCTCCTAACCTGTCCATGAGAGATCTTCTAGATTGGCTTAGTATGTGTGGAAAGCCCACCCTACCTGTTGGTAATATCCTTACATTGGCTGTGGTTCTGACCTCAATAAAACAGAGAACGGGAGCCTAGCATCTGCACCCATCTTGAACATCTGCTCCCATCTTTACTTTTTGACAGTGGTGCAAAGTATCCAGCTGCCTCACACATTTTGTTGGCATGTTGTTTCTAGCATCAGGACTCAGAGACATAAAACCTGTACATTATTTTTGTTCTGCCTTCTACAGGAAAACATTCGGGAACAAAATCCCTGTTTCAACATTCTTATCACACCCCATCATCTTCTCTCAGTACTAATGCTGGGACCGTGGTACCCATCTGGTAGGTGGTAAACTGCTCAGCCTGACTTACCTGTGTGTCCTGGGCTTGTCACAGCAGTGCTGTGTCTACTAGGGGTGCTGCTTCCCTCAATGCTAGATGTAAGTGCTGTGCTGCCCACTGCCACTGTAGGGGTCCCTCCAGGTGATGTCTGGGATATACCTGCTAATTTCCAATGATAAATTTTAAAAAAGTTAAAAATTGCAAAGGAACATCTTATTATGAATATGAAGTAAAATTTGATTTCCTCTTCCCTGAAAAATTTGTAAGCTAGGTGCTGTGGTGTATGCCTTTAATCCAAGAACTCTCTGTAAATCAGTAAGTAGATCTCTGAGTTCCTTGTCAGCCTGGTCTATCAAGTAAGTTTTAGGTCAGCTAAAGCTACATAGTGAGATCCTGTCTCCAATGTAAATAAATAAGAAGTTACCTTCTCATATAAACTCCAATAGCACCCTAAGTACTTTTTCAAGGTAAATTAGGTAAATTGACAGTAAACTGAACCTATTGAAATGTTCATTGATTATAAAGCATTGTAATCATGTGAAATTCCTCATAGTGATGCTGATGATTTTAGAATTGTCATAGGACCCTGTGAGCATCTTTGCACAGAAGACTGAGTGCATCATTATTCTTCTACATCTCATGATTGTTAATTTTTTTCACAAAATAAAGTTTGTGGGATTGCAACGTTCTTCCATTTGTTCATAACATACCACTGTGTGCTTAATATTACACACAAAACAAATACTTGATGATATGTTTCTAATTTCTTGGACATTTAGCATCTGTAATGGCTGGTCTTCATTATCTACTAGAATGTATCTAGAGTCATCAAGGTATACATCTCTGAGGCTATCCCTGAGTATGCTTACAAAGGTGTGTCCCTGAGAAGGAAAAACCTATTATGCATGTAGTTGAGGGCATTGCATGTGTTGGTATGTAAGACTGAATGAAAATAAGTACCAGCACACACCACTCTGCTTCCTCACTGTGAACAGAATGACCAGCCATCTCAAGATCCTGATACCACAGATAGAAACTCTGTCCCTTCCATCATGTCCCTGCCGTGAGGGACTTTATCCTAAATGTGAGCAAAATAAAGACTTTCTTCCTTAACTAGTCAGGTGTTATTCATAGAAATAAAAGTAACACAGCATGACAACAGCAACACTCAGCTCCCCCACAGAACTTCATCTCATTACATGTTGCATGAAATGCTCACTTATCTATTGCCTGGATATGACCCCGGTTAGCATACCCCCATACCTGTTGTTCCTGATGTGTTTTCACTAGGAGCTCCAGTGGTGGCTGTGTGTGTTCCTCCACTTGTGCCTATAGCAAGAACAGTGATTTAGGTCACAATGATGACCACAGCAGCCTCCTAAAGGCATTTATTTCATGATTACACTCATGCCTTTCATTTCTACAGTGCAGTCCTTGGCCACTTTGGTTTGTTCTCATTATCACACTCAGTTCTGGCCACAGTCAATGTTGGTCCACACCAGAGTCCCAAGGGACCCTCTGCCTTGCCTGCTGGGTTTACAGTGGTGACTCTTGTACTTGGGGCTTCCCTGTCTGCTCCTGAAGTAACTCCCACAGACTGTCCAGTTGTACCTGATAAACAAAGACTACGGCTTAAAATGCATACTATAAAGTTCCCTTGAAGGGAGACATCATTAGGTTCGAATTCACATATCACTCTGCAAGCGTCTCCCTCCTTCTCCTGCAGCTCTGCTTTTACTTCTAGCCATTTAGTTGGCAGGAAGAGATGCCTGCCCTGACTTACCCGAGTTTCCTTGGCTTGTTGCACTGCTGATGTGTGCCCTGGAAGTTTTGGTTTCTTCATCAGTCGATGTGGGTGTGGGTGTAGATAGGACTCCACCTGATTAATAAACAGTGTTCAAAATGTCAGAGACAACTCAAATTAAATCTCTTAAGAAATTCTCCAATATAGACAATGGGATTCTTCCCATTCACCAGATTCAGCAAAGTTGCTTGCTCCAACTTTTCTATCAGAGAATGATAGACCAATCCAAATCCCAGAAGTCTCCCTAGAATGTAACCTCTAATTTGTTTTCTGATTATTTTTTAATTTATTTTTTCATATCATATTTTTATCATGTTTTCCCCTCCCATAACTCATCCCAGAGCCTACTCACCCTACTTTGTTCTCCCCCCTCTCTTATGATTTCTCACTCTCTCTCTTTTATACACACACACACACACACACACACACACACTCATTAATAACTACAAAAACACAAAAATGAAAATATAAATAATATTTTATTTATCAGAATAAATAAGCAAAAAATCAATAAGAGAAGAAGAATGCCAAAATGAAACAAAAAGTACACACACACAAACACACACACACACACACACACACACACAAACACAATTGAGTTCATTTTATGCTGGCCAACTACTGTTTCTCCATTGGAGAACACTGATTTTCCCTTTGCCAGAAGATAGCAACTGCATATAGATTATTGGTTAGGTTCTCTGTGTCCACTCTCCCCCTCTCAGTCACAGGATGACCCTATCTTAGATCTGTGCAAACCCCGTGCATGCTCTCACAGTTTCTGGGTTCATATGTGCATCAGTCCTGTGGTGTTTGGAAGATGCTCTTTCCTCAGCGTCATCCATCCCCTCTGGCTCTTGCCGTCATTCCCCTCCTCTTCTGCATATGTCTCTGAGTCCTGAGGGGAGGGCTCCCCTGATTTTTTAAATAATCTGTGGTCAATTGGCATCCTTCACAGTTTTCAAAATATTACAAATAGATGCCTTGAAAAGGACCAGAGACATGGCCCAAATGTCTTTTAATTTGACCATTTATTATACAAGCCTTTATTGAAAAGATATCTCATTCATCTAAAATTACCAATGTCCTATGTTATGTTTGTTCCTTGTTCCCGATGGAGTGGGGCGTAGCTTTCAGTGTGAGCAATATGCTGGCACCAGGACCTCTGACACAGAAGGACAGGTCACTCTACTCTCTGCTTTCAAAGCATCTTGATTTTCCTACACTTCAGCATCTCCTCTTTGCAACTAGTGATCAAAAACATTCTGTGATCCAGCGAATCCCAGTTTGTGCCATTTCCTTGTTGAATGTGAATAGGTTTGTTCACATTTACTTGTTTAATTGTATGATACTGGAATTTAGTATTTCACAACCTAGGTCACACACAGGAACCAACTGTAGGGCTTTTTTAAATACTTACCTGGGCCCTTCTGTTAGAGGTTCAGATTCTGTCAGTCTGTAAAAACTCAGAATATACATCTCAAATTTTCTCTAGTTGGTAGCAAGGATGTC